AGTGATAAACATCTCAGTAACCAAATCATTTAACCAAGCATATTAAATTGTGGCAATCACAACAATTAAGCATTTAATATCACATAAGACAAACTAACATTATTTACATGCATCTTTATAATGTGTTTCAAATGATCAGATACAATCGCCTTATACCACTCTTTATATCATCTAATTGAATCCATGGGCTATTATCTCATATAAGTCTAGCCTATGTGACTAGACTAGCTCTGCTTTTTAATTGTGAATGGTCACCAGACCAAAGACTACCACACTCACTCTCGGACCATAGATTCTCTTTACTCAAATTTTAGGGTGTCATAAGTGCCCGACCCACACTGTCGGTGATAATAAGCATCGTGCCTGACCCATGCTGCACCCGCAAGTCGTTGGCAATACTAAGTACATATAGTAATGAAGTATGCCAACCACTGCACGCAAACTCAATGAAAGCTACACTGTGGATTTTCTATCATAATCTCTCTACTATATTAAGGTGAACTCCTACCTATTATGATCATGCAAGTTCAATCAATAAACATGAATATAAGTTCATGCATATCATAGTAATTCATCATCCTCATGATTTCTCGAACTCGTATGCTTATCACGGTTTACACCACATTATAGTTTACAATAGCTCATTATATAATTAACTCATAGCAAATCCAAGCCCACAATTCATATTTCAAATACCAAATAACATCTATATAAATATAATCATTAAGTATTTCATCACAAATATACATGCTTACCACATATCTTCCAAAATCATCAATTATGACCACTCATTATGTTAACACATTCATCTCATAAACAATCTAGGCTTAACATCTCATGTTTCAGTATCACATAATATCTATATAAATATAATAACCAAACACTTCATCACAATGAGTCATGTTTCATATTTGAGTAATAGTTCAAAATCAGCATATTCATACATAAGCTCATTTGGCTTATTTCAAGCCATTCATAATAATGCTTAAAGTGTAAATGTAAACATAATAATGTTATACTTAAATTTCTAGTTACCTTAACTCTTTATTTACCAATAAGAGTACCCATGAATATCAAACGAAGCCTCTAACAAGTACAATAACACCAACAATGGTCAATCTATAATTAAACACATCAATAGTCATTAATGGCTAATTATCCTTAATTAACTCTAATCAAAGCCTGAAGCTAAAAATCTCATTGTGTTCATCTACCTACAACCAAATTCGTTTTTAAGTTTCATTAGTTCCTTTGGACTCCCATTAATCTACTCAACACCATTAATAACTCAACTTCCTTAGCTCAACCAATTAGCTCTATGATTTACTTCAAACCTTATTTTGAAATCTTAAAATCATTAGCATCATAAATCAAATGTTAGACATTTAAATAGACACCTATTAATCCTTTTAAAGTAAGAATTCTAGAAAAAATCACAACTCAATTTTGGATTTCTAAAGAACTCCCCAAAAACAATGACGCAAAATGCACAAGAGAGGAAGAGAAGAGGTCATAGGCACTTACCCAAGTGATTAAAAGCTTCTAATAAACTCAATTGGATGCCCACAATAAACCCTAACAGAGCCTTCTTTGTTCCTCTTTGGACTCCCACTCTCTAATTTTTTTAAATTGAGGTGTGAATTTAGAAGCTTAAAAATTGAGCTTTTGTTATGGCCAATAAACCTTTAGCTACAACTAAAGATAAAAATTTCAAATTCTGAATACTATTCATCTAATTAGGCTTAAATATGACTCAATACTACTTAGGGTCCAATTATAAGCCCTAATTAGGGTTCGATAGACATATTACCTACCTGTACATTATCTTTTAAATTAATACTCAACTGTTTAATTTATCCTTAATTATCTAATTAACCTTAAGTTAAATTTTTCAAGATGTTATAGGTATGAATGAAACAGAGGCACCTTTTATAATACATAAAGTCATACTAGAATGTTACCATTTATTAGTATGAAAAAGTAGCCGTTGGAAATAAATTTTAAATGAATAGATAAGATTAAAAGATCAAGACAAAAAATGTACCCGTCATACTGGTATGTCTCTAGTATACTAGTATGTATAGCTCATATTGGTATGTACTAGTTCTACTGATATTATCAACCTCTATCATACCGATATGAGTTATTTATATCATTATGTACTAGTTCTATCAGTATGAGCGTGGGTTTCTATAATGGACTCTGTTATACTAGTATATTGTGTTGATACTAGTATGAGTTATTCATACTGGTATGTACTAGTTTTAATAGTATGAGTTTAGGTTTCACTTAAGATAAAAAATTCCAATTGACTTGTTCATCACCTTACTGCGTTCATCACTTTACTGTATCTTGTTAATTTCCTTACCTTACTTATTTATTACAGCACTAACTTGAAATAAATTCTAAGTGTTAGTTGGTTTCATGTTTGAATGACTTGTTCATCACTTTATTATGTGTAGTTCATTACCCTATGAAATGTTGTTAATTTTTCTACCTAACTTGTTCAATACAACACTCTGATTTGATATAGAACTACATGTTAATAGTTCATTTTTCTTGTTAAATGCCATTGCAAATGAACATAAATGACTAATTCATTCACATCCAATGGCTTGTATACAAAAAAGGAATAATTTCAAGGAATTTCATGACAACAGTAACACGTAAAATGTTATAATACTGACATTACTAATAATTTGAACAATTAATCTAACTTCTAATCCTTCTTTGCCTCTTCTTGGCATTGTCACTTGCAAGGAGTTGTGGCATAGCATCGTGTTTGGAGTTCTTCTCGTGGTTCCTATGTAATAGAGTTGTAAAATCCTATGTGAGCTTCTCTTCTTAAGGTTAACTCGCTGCTCTATCTACTCCTTGACTACTTTTGCATCAAAAAATTCACCTCTTCAACTAAGGGGAATTTTCGTAGAAAAAGAGCTACACATAAACAAGTCAAATAATGTAAATAAACAATTTTAGGGAGGGGATCAATAAGTAAACATTATGGAATGAACAAGTCTTCGTATATACCACTAACAAGTACACTTAGCCACCAATGTTTCTTGTGCCCTTCAGATAACCTCATTTTAACAATTGTTAGTACTTCTCTATCTCTGCTCAACTTATCCAGCATAAGAGTTTTTCCATCAAATTTGTCCCAACGGTTGCCAATGAACTCTAATATTTTCACCATCTCATTGCTTATAGATGGATTGGCAGCAAGACAAAGCAAAGTACCAAGCATATAAAGTATGAATAAAGCTGTAAATTCGAATAGGCTACTTAACAACTACTGTTTGGGCAATGAGCAACATGCCTCAACTAATTCCAACTTCATTGATTCAAAAATCAAGACATTAACTTTTGCTATTTTTTCCAATCTAAAACAAATATTTCACAAACGGCTATTAAAATCAAGAGAAAATTAAACTTACATAGTTATATTTCTACTAGATTTTCGTAGTTACCCATTGTTCTTTCATCAAATGCTCAATGAAGCCATCTTCTAAGTCCAAGCTCTAAGAAGAACAACCCTAACCAAAAGAAGCTACGAGGTTAAAGGCAGCGATTGACTTGGTGGTGACTCCTTCAATGGAGATTCTTAGGTAAGAAGTCTTACAACGAAGGTCTCATCGATAAACTTTATGAACCTTACTACATGCTTGCGATGCTTTAAAGTGACGTGTTTGCAAGACCTTTTTTCCTTCTTTATAGTTTTCTCACAATGAGAGCAACTTTGTCATTTGACTTTCAAAATTAATTTCATATAAGAGCCCCAATTGTATAGTGAGATTTTAGAAAATTTAGCATTTTTTTTTTTCATCATCTTCAGCTAAGGAGTCTTGAGTGAAAATTTTCCCTTAATTTTAAAAGAAAGGAAGCCCACTCGTGTACCTCATAAGCCGGTTGGGAGCCACACATGATTAGATAAGCCGACACTATTCACTATTACAATTTTTTGAGTCTACAGCTGATGGATTTTGCAGCTTGGTTGGAGGAGAATTAAGGGTTATATTGATTTTAAAAACTTACATTCAACATATTTTCAGACATACTTAAGAGATCAAATCTTTTGAATCACTTTTTTTTTCTTTTATTTAATTTATGAAAACTTTTTCTTCTCTTTCTTATTTATAACTGGCTTCTCAACAATTTACAGTCACAAAATTCAAATGAGCCATATATTTTAAGAAAACACTCAGAAGTTTCCAAAAGGGTAACGACACAAGGAATTCAATATATATATATATATATATATATTATATCTTTCCTTGGCAACAGGAACCCCATATTAATTCTCCGAGCTTAAGTGCCAAGGTACTTTTTGACGACTATCACACACGCTATTTTGAGTTGATATTCACCTGTTTCAAGTACAAAATCCTTCAGACAGATTTATAACATGCAATAATTTAAATAAGTTAATCATGATTATAAAATATATAAGACATTTTTTTTATCAATTTTATCATTAATAACTTCTTCCCACAATCATTTATTACAGTTAACTTGAACGAGATAACCACATAAACTTGCTAATTTTGAAGGTAACAAAATGAAACTAAAACTGTCTCATCAATCAAAGTCAACCCGTGAAGTGAATTGTCACAAAGACTGCAGAGGGGCTCCACTGCAACAAGTTGCTCAACATGCAGATCCCACTATCACTCACCAAAAGGGACCTTTATAGATCATGCTGGTTCAATCTTCACCGCGAGAAATAACCAGAAGATATAAAAACTACAGATAAGGATCCTGCGTTTTTGAACTATGTTGATACTTACATCTTACATGTGCAGATCAGGACTAAAAGCATTATGAACCATATAACTTGGAGATCTACTGTTGCTGGAGATGTGAGAGAGAGAGAGAGAGAGGTCTTCACAAATCACAAACAATTATATATGCTGGAGATTGAGTCTATCCTGGACTGGATATCTGGATATGGGCTGTTGCTTACTGTTCTCGTCTCCTTATACTTCAAAAGGATAATTATCCCTACACAACACACCTCCATGATTCTTGTGGGTCTTAGCCAGATTGGCCAACTGTGACCACATGGCCCCACCAAACCACATGCCCATACACCCTTGTAACTCCCCCATCCTCCCACGCACCCACCCTTTTGCCCCTTTATAAATTCCTCCTCTCTACTTTTGCGCCTTAGCTGTTATCTCTTTTGGATTTCACAACACAATACTCCAGGTTATGGATGTTGCTGTGGAGCTCGAGGATGATCTCTTTTTTGCAGACTTGAACAAGCAGATTTCTCTCCTGATTATGGATGAAGATGAACAAGAAGGCCCGCTTGCTTGTTCTCCTCCCGAGCCCCTTCAGGTTCTTCTCTTTCCATCTATCAAATTCAAGCTTAGCTTATGTTGATGTGGAATCAATCTGAACATGCCAAAACTTGTGTCTTCATCTTCTTCTTCTTCAGGCTTTCTCCGGGGCAATAATCCACCACCCTCCTCCTCTGTCTGTTATAGTGTACGAGCAGGGTGTGAGAAGGACAAGCAAAGGGACTGGAGTGTTCATCCCTCAGTCCATACAACCGAGAAGAAGGCACAGAAGAGGAAGATCTGGTTCGTATGCTAAACATCAGAAGCAATCTGAAGATACAAGAATGGTTTCTCAAGCTCCTGATAACAGTTATTCTTTCAGATCCAGAAATGGCTGACGTGGACAGATCTGTCTCCCCCAACAAAACAGAACAGTTTGATAAATCCTAATGATTTTGTATTCCTTTGCCAAGTTTAGTAAATTATTTATTATGTGTCTGATTCTTTAGTCTTCAGGCAATAAATTAAAGTATTGCTTCGGTGATTGATAAAATATATATAGGTTTTTACTGATTATGTACATGGGAAAGCCTTATTATATGTACTCCACTGCCAAGTATATTCATGAAGGAAGGTTCATCCAAGGTTTTGTGCCTTTCCAGCATGTGGACAAGTATGGGTGTCTTACAGTTTGACTACATGTATGCATCTAGGTATTGTTTCAGTGATAAGCTTGTCCTTGATTACTCAATAATATTAATCATACTATTTCTTAACAACTTGCCCTTTTCTTCCTTCCTTTTCACCGTGTAGTTGCAAGTAGCCTCGTTCTGCTACTAAGTCAAGTGAGATTTGAATCTATTCTCTAAAAGGCTGCAAATTAAGAAAGGGATTTTCATTCGCCTGCAAGTTGGAGTGAATTAAAAGTAATAGAAACCTTCAGTTGTGATAAACAAAAAATACAAAGTGAAACTTTTGAGCAATTTGCTTTTGTGCGAGGCAACACACACACACACACACACACACACACACTGATTGATTTAAAACTCCTAAATTTTTTGCCCCATGCATTCATGAAGTAGACTCTGCTAAGCATCGTTGGCAGAGTATGAATATGATTGCAAGCATAACTTTTGAGTTTGCTTTTAATCATTGAATTGTCGATTATTCTGATTCCACTCTTACTCAACGACACAATTTTTCCCCCGTAGCAATTGCCGTTCATTACACCAAATAAATAATTATAAATCTTCTTTGTCAAGTGTAAATATGAAAATTTTGCAACCCCCCCCCCCCCCCAAAATCATAAGCCGCCGCAAGACAATAGATTTACCATCTCCTGTTTTATACTAGATTATATTCTCTATAAACTTTTCGGAGCAATTCTAAGATTAAGTGTTCAATAATATCCTACATCAGGTGCCGTTTAATGTTTGCTATTGGCATTTTCATAGTCCTGCAAAGAATTTAATTAACTAACTACATTTTTCATGTCGTCCCTCTTTTTATTATTCTATGGTACATTTTCTCTTTTCTACTGCAAGAGATCTGTTTTTGACGCTGATGGCCACAAAAATCCATAATCCCTGCTTACAGGAAACATCGTTGTCTCATTTTCTCAACGGTTCAATCAATGTTGATTGATGGGAAAGAAGCAGTAGGGGATTGCCATGGTTTTGATACCACACCATACATATTGAACCTGCCAAGAGGCAAAAGGGGGAAAATAAAGGAAAGAGCGAAAGAAAGAGAGAAATCTATTATTTTGATCCTTGCATGAAACCTAATTCTTTATTGCCTCGAAACAATATTCCTTCTATCTTATTATTATTGGCCAGTCCTTCTATAGTATTTGATAGCACGGAAAACTAATTTTCAAAATACAGACAGCATTAAAAAAATTAAATATATATAACTATCTTGCACTTCATTTAAATGCAATGTCGAATCACTATCTTGCATCACACCAAATGTAATCTTGAAGGAGCATTTTTTAAAAGAAAGAGTGCAATTTTCAAGTTCCTTTCAACATAGCTTCCAACGAATCATGTGACCCATCTTCATCTCATGGGTACCCTGACAGTTTGGGGAGAGGGGTCTCCATTTTTTTTCCTCCACTTGCCCCATTCCCCACCATTCAAATTATTTTATTAAATAATTTTTTTAAATGATAAAATTAATCAATGGTAAGGATAGGAAAAGTGAAGGGAAGCGAAGAAAAAAAAAAGTGAAGAGACCCTCTTTCCAACAGTGACACTGACACTACCAACCAACAGTTACCACTATCGATCAAGAGACACCTGACAAGGAAATGGATCCCAAATACTTCCTCCTCCTATTCACTTTATTAATTTTTTAAAAAGCAAGAGAAAGAAAAAAACAGTAAAATAATATTATATAATTTATTTTTTTTTAAAAGTTATATTTATAATTCAATTAAATTTTATTCTTTATACTTTTATTATATTAATATTGATGAGATTGATAAAATTGAAGCATGTACATATCTACATGTTCATTTATTATGAACGTAATGCACTCGCCTTTTAGCAAACTATGTTCATCTTTAAATTCTTCAGGAACATGTGGCTTCATACTAAAAGCGCTAGGAATACTTCGCTTCACATTTTTTAAAAAAGAAACAAACCAGAATCTGCTGATTCCAAGTTCTAGAGTGGCAATGAGGAAAGTAGGACATGACCGTGATCTCACTAACAAATCCAGCTTCTTTCATGCTCTTTCTATTTAACCATCAGTTAGTTCCTTCCACGAGTTCAGTAGATAGAGCAAGAAAGTCACTTTAGAATATTTTGCTAGATGGCAACATCACATGCCTCTCATCAGGCTGCTAGATTCTAGATTAGGGAATAGAAAGCAGATAACCTCAGCATTATTTGAGTGAAATGAGCGATGTAACAGCATGTAAAGGAAATAAACTAAGACAGAACATGGACAACCGCAGAACATGGATAACTGCCCATGCATGTCTATACTACTTTGATAAGTTCATTAAATAATCTCCCTCGAGGAGAAAGCTCTGGCTCCGTAAACTGTTTATAATTCTTAAACATCATGGACCAGTAATAACAATGCCGGATGCATATACCAACGTGTAGATTGGTTTACAAAGTCATCACTTGCACTGCATGCTTCTTCTTGGACAAGTGAGACAACATACTAGCCAAGCTAAGTCTTTACCGCATCATGTCCAGTCTGGATGTCAAAAATTGAGAGCACATGGAAAGATTCAGCCGACTTTCAAGAAATAACATAATTTTAAAAAAGATTGGAAGTAGGGAATTAGTTGGATGGATTAACCTGAACATGAGGAGGATATCCTACTGGACTGACAGCCGTGCTGGAAACCTGTGCAGGTAGACCTGATCTACCATCATGAATGGCAACTCCGCTCTCTTCCTTAACAGCACAGTGAAGAGACTGTCCACTACCATTTTCTTGTACAGTCTTTCCTTTAAAGGGGAAGCCAGAAGTTCCCTCACTAGAGCTAGGCATGGGAGGAGAAGCAGCAGCCCGTTTTGAGGCAAGATCAAGACGTTCAATCATCCGTGCAACACCAGCAATACCTGCATTCATCTCACGCTGAACACCTTTACTCAGCTCTTTTACTGAAGCATTGCGGGCAAGTAACTTCTCTTTAAGGCCGCGTGTACTTTTTGAGATAGATTCTTTATATCTGATTCAAGATTTTAATATAAAAACATTTATCAGTGGGATAATCATAGAAGCATCTTGGGGTTAAGTGTATAAATTTGTTTACCTAGCTGAAGCAGCAGAAAATTTGGTCTTGATGGTCTCAGGGAAGGTAAACATCTCAGAAGTGTTCAGTCTTCTCACACTCTCAGATGGTGGCGGCTGGCTATAAAGAACTCTGAGCACAACCCAACAGATAGTAAACATAAGAATCTCATGCCATAACCTCCAGCTAAAGAACTCATGCCACTGCATTATAATTCAAATCCAAAGTTTGGTACAACCAATACCTGGCTTTGAAAGGGTCATCGGTTTCAGGAGTGGAATTTCTTGCAATTGCTTCAACAGAGGAAGGGGCAGATGGTGGTGGTTGAATGTCCGCAGCAGAACCAGAACTAGGTGAACTACCTCCAGAACGTGAAGTTGTATGCGCTGGATGCAGCTCAGAGACTTGCACAGAAGAGTCAACAACAGGAACCCGAGATGGACCTACTCCAGATGATCTTTGCATTTCCCTTCTACGAAAATAATGTGCTCTACTTGCAGCAGCAACTAGGTGCTGCATAATTTGTTCATCAAAATCAGAGTCATCTGAACAAGAATCATCCTGCAATAGCATGTTGAGCCTCTTGTCAATGAAAGATCTCATGCTTTCCCTCAATTCAATAAACTGGTGCCACATTACATGAATAGATACAAATAAATATTGACTTAGATAACAGATTCACAACACTTGGAAATATTGCTCACATGTTCAGCGCTAAGCCTTTCAATGGGGATATGAGGATATGGGAATGCAGACGAATATGAGCTTCTTGACCTTATGCGTTTTTCAGCTTCCACTGCAGCTAGAAGCTCTTGGCTGCAAGATTGGTGATTAAGGAAGATAAAAAACCATACCAACACAAGACATTCAAGAAAGAGACAGAAATTTTCCAAGAGAAAGTATATACTTGGCAGGGTCTTTCAAGACAAGTAACTGCCAACAGATTGGGCACTCCTTGCTTCTCTGAGACCTGAAGATAAAAAAGTATCGTGTTAGAAGCAGCCTATTTATTATTGCCTATGTGGGTGAAAAGCATACATCTAATTTATCATACTGATAACCAACATAATCTTCCTACAGAGCGATCAGGCTTACCATTCAAGAATACAGTGCAGATGATATTCATGTTTGCAATTTGTTATCTGAAAATTTAAAGGAGGTATGTCAATAATATGTTGAAAATTTAAAAATAAGACATTCATATCTAGATTTGCGAGTAGACCAGACTTGGTAAAAGTTCCTCAATTGATAGCCATGAGGTTTTCCAGTGAACCTATGACATGTGGATTGCAGAGGAAGTTTATTAAAAGGTTCAAGCATGTAACGCTGCACTGTGAAAGTTCCACTTCTCAAATACTTCTAAACTGAGCCTAAGTTTTCCCCAATGCAAATTTTCTTTTGTAAATTGACAGGTTGTAACTTATCCATTCATGAAACACAGCTCACATGACAGCACCAGCCAAATAGCCATCAAAGTTTATGCATGCATATAGAGAGGAACCTCATAAATGTGAAGAAATTAGTAACCCCACGTGATTCAACAATCTGAATTCTCATATAACCATCATGATCTAGATGTCAAATTTGAGTGGTGCCCAAAGAAAAACAGAGGAAAACAACACAACTCTCTACCGCAAATATGCATATAATTGGAAGAAATCACATGGGCCGTTCACTTATTTCTGGTTGCTTGAAAGTGAATAGCTTCTTGTTCGTGGGAGCAGGATTCCACAATCTGAATCCACACAAGGACCTAGATCTACATGTTAAATTAATTGGTACAAGATATAGAGTAAATGTTAAAATTTCTTCAGCAAGCCTGTATATGTACAGAAGGCAGCACATGCAAAATATTCTTTTGGGTAGCTACGATATGAGTCATTCCTCATTCTGCTTAAATAACAAACCCGGCAAGGCAAAATTTCCCCCCGGGGTTTGTGTCAGTGAAGACTGGCACACAATGATCCATACAGATATCTTAAAAAGGTAATAAAATAAAAGGTACATTTTTCATTAAGTTCCTAACTCTCAAAAAAAAAGGTGGAGGCACATCAAAATTCCCAAGTACATCAATCTCTAACATTAAGGAACAGAGAACTGAACAGAATGAAAAAGCCGGTCATCCTTCAATACCGAACAATGAATAAGATTACTACTATGTGACAACGAACATCTTATGCCCACAAAAGAATAAAATGCAGCAAAATTATGACTTGCCCCTAGACTGATCCTACTTCCGAAGGAAACGAATATCGAAAAGGAGTCCAAGGGAGTTCGGTTGCTCCTTGAAGCTTATAACTCCACACGAACCCGAATGCACAAACAAAACGTAGAAGAAGTGGAGTCAGATAGAGAGAGAGAGAGAGAGAGAGAGAGAGAGAGAGCGTTCGGATCATACAGTAGCAGGGTCATCGGTGCTGAAGGGCTCTAGACAAATACTGCAGGAGTCCTCGGAACCATCGTCGAAAACTGCAGAAGAGGGTGAAGCCGATGTAGGCAAAATGTCGGATAGAGGGGGTGGGGAAGGGGGAGGGGGAAGAGAAGAGGAAGAGGTGAAATTATCCATGGATGGCAGCACGGGGAAGGAGACTCGAGATGAAGAAGAAGAGGAAGAGGGAGGCCCACGTCAAGAAGAAAAGAACCCTAGAGGAGTAGAGTGGGAGAGTAATAGGTCAAAGTACAGAACTGTAGATGGAGAAAGAAGAGGAGAGCAAAAGGAAGCGGGCAGAAAACGCAGGAACAATCCGGTTCACACGTCTTGATGAAATCAACCTGATTTGATAATTTATTAATATATTATGATTTATGAATCTGATGTTGATGTTTAGCTTTTCTTTTGTGGGTTTGAAAGGACTTCCAAATCTAAAATAATAGCTTACAAATTCTAAGCTCATCTCACAACAAATCTAGATATAACTTATGATTTTCTACACATATGTTATTATATTTAATTTAATTTAATAAAATTAATAAAATAACAAAATTTGTTAAAAAAAAGTTGCAGTAAATGGAAAAAACGAAAGGTACGAAGTCTTTGAACAAGCCAAGAGCCAGAGCAAGAGAGGAATTTAATGGAGGCATGTTTGGTAGGGCACGAAGGACGAAGAGGACTTTCGGTCATCTTTGCAAAAAGTGTCCCAAACCCTCCCTCCAGCTACAGCCGTCAACTAAGACCGAGCCATCGGGTCAATTTACCTAAGTTTGAAAAAATTTAACAATGGGTTATTATTGTAGAGTGTAAAATAATAATTTAAATTTAAAAAGATGAATCTTTTTAAATTTTAAAATAAAAAAGCCTGTCTTTTTTAAACTCTTTTATATATTTTTTTAAATTTTTAATATTAAAAAATTAAATATTATATTAATTTTAAAACCCTAACATTATTTGATGTGGATAAAGAGAGAATATATAAAAAATTTAATTTTTTAGTCACTGTTGAAACTTTATAAAGAGAATGATAAAATTATATACTGATGTTAATAATTATAAAAATTATCCAAATTTTACTGATATTGTTAAATTTATCATTGTGCATATTGATCTTGATTTTGTAATATTGTTATTTTTTATTAGTTAAATTTGTTATTGTGACTTAAATTTATTTTTATATATTTAACGTTATGTGTAACAATTTTTTTAAATTTTAAATATATTTTTAATTTTAAATTAAAAAAATATAGGATCAAGGCCTTTTAATATTAAAAGCTATGGTGGTCGGATTGGTTAAAATAAAATTTTAAGATGTAATCAAATTTTATAAAATTAATCCATTTAAGTTTGGCCTTTCAAGAGCTATTAAAATTAGTACGACTTTAATTGACACCCCTACCCACAACCTCTCAAAAACAAAATTTTGTACGAGAAACTTGATGCTTTCCTGTACCCTCACTCCTTGACGCTCCTTTTATTTATTTTCTAGCCTTTTTTTTCCGTACTCCATTCTATCAAAACATGACACTAGCTTTGTCTAACGTGATTCCCGTTTCCCACCACTCCCTTCAACAGATAAATATGCACCGCTTAATACCCTCCCGCTCGGCTCTCGTCACTCACAAGCTTCTCAGACCACCTAACCCCTTATAATGCCTTGGGCTGGTAAAGCCTTGTTTGTCTGAATGGATAATCGCTCCCTTTCTTCAGTTACCGTGTTTTGCTCACAGAGCTTTAAAATTGGTTTAGGCTTTTTGGAGGAATATTATGAAGTTGAGATTTTTATTTTATCTTGGTAATAGCAGGTTAGCTGTAATTGCAGTGTGAGTTAAGGCATTGTGTTTTTATTGGTAGCTGATTGTTTCTGCTTCAAATTGGTTTAAACTAGTAGTTGTTGTGCATAAACGCATGTGACTTAAAGCGTTGTGGCCTTTTCTCCGTAATTGTTTCAAGAGGGAACCAAGAACAAGAGGCCAAGAATCGAACTTTCCCATTCGCAAGAAGATAATCAAGACTTTCACATTGCCCCGTCAATCAATTACATGACGGGATGCAACTGGAATTAGAAGGTGTTGTCCTGGCCCCTCCCCCCCCCCCCCCAAAAAAAAAGGTTACTTCATCACGCTAATAAATGATCTAATCGCACGTCCCTCCAAAATAAAACAGACGCTTTTTTATTGTGCAAGCAAAGCTCACTTTATTCTCAATAGTATCAATAACACAGAAAGAAGGGACTCTCCTTTTCTTCTCTCTACTATTTATTTATCTCCTAGAATTCTCAGACACTCAGCATCCAACGAAAGAATGAGCTGCGATACCTTGTTGGAGCATCGATTTCTGTACTTGATCATCTCCCGCCGCACCGTTTTATATTTGGCCAGTGTAACGCATCGTTTTATTCGGAACAGCTACTTGGCAACTGAGCGGGTCAACATCCTAATTTCAATCCACATTCACTTACCAATACTTCTCCGTCACCCTGCGCTTTGCAGCTGAGTTGCCATGGATGCTCTTTCACCTGCAAAGCTTCTTCCCATTTCCTTGGAGAAGCTAACTCCTACTTGTTTTCTTTCTTACTCGCAAAATCATAACTTCAATTTTTTCTTTTCCATGTATCACTCCAACCCTGGTCTACGCCTTATCTCCAAGTTCAGAACTCCACAATCCCTTTTAAATACCTCTTCCTTGGTCCACGCAGCAGTTGATAAAGTTGGTTCTCCCACGTTAAGGGAAATATGCGAAGCTCGTGTTCCCCAGCATATATTAGACAGGCAATCTCTGACCTTTTCCTTTTCTTTCTCTTGCTTTTCAGAATTGCTCTCTCTCCTTATGTGTGTTGTGTGTCGGTGGATGTGTGGATGAGTTTCTTTCTTTCCAATTTTGATTGTTTAAACATGTATAACATCTGCGAGACAAAAAATTAAAAAAAGTGGGCTTTGACGACTTTGGTGATCTTTTTCTTATTTCTGGTTTTCTTGGGGGGAACCGTTGATTGTATTTTGACTACATGAGACGATGTCGGCACTGTCATATGTTTCAGGATGGAGGAGATTGGATATGTATTGCCTACAGATGTCCAGAAACAAGCATTGCCTTCTCTTTTATCTGGTCGTGATTGTATCCTTCACGCTCAGGTTAATTTGCTTCTTGGAGTTGGTTTTATTCTAACGAAAGAGCAAGGATTGCCTACTGATGTAATCTTATATTATGTCTTCTGTAGACAGGTTCTGGGAAGACACTTGCATACCTGCTTCTTATATATTCCATAGTAAATACTGCAAAATCTGTTGTGCAAGCTCTTGTTGTGGTTCCCACCCGTGAACTTGGCATGCAGGTAATAATGCCAACGATCTTGCGATTGCATAATTACATGCTAATTATATTCAATGCAATGTATCAGAGTGGATTCACTTGGAAGTTGGAAACGACTGATGCCAAAATTAAAATGATTTTTTTTATGACAAGGTTGCTAAAGTTGCTAGGATATTGGTGGCAACTCCAACAGAGGTTGAGGAGGAGCACAATTCATGTACTGTCATGGCTCTTTTGGATGGCGGAACATTGAGAAGACACAAGAGTTGGCTAAAGGTACTACTGTGGTACTTTGTTGTCCATCACAACCTTTTCCTTTTACAAGCTTTATTCTGTGATTGTTCCCCTTACCAGATACAGATTTGGTGCAAGTAGTTGTTGCTTTCAAATTCTGTAGAAAATTGGAGTATCTCCCCCCCCCCCTGTGAAGAAACTTTTGCCTTTGTAGATGAGACAGATAATTTGACCTTTGATGCAGTTTGTTCAGACTATTGTTTCCTCTGATCCAATTTATGTAATCTTAAATATTAATCAATAATCAAAGCATGTTAATTGATTTTAGATGATCTAGATTGCTTATTAGAAGTTTAGAAAATCCAGAATTTTGAGGGGCCTATATGATCCACTTGACTTGGGGCCGTGAATGTTGGAATGGGTTGAGTCAGTCTCATGTAGTCTTTCAAATTTTAGGCAGAGCCTCCGATGATAGTGGTAGCAACAGTGGGGAGTTTATGCCACATTATTGAAAGACAATTTCTTAAGCTTGAAACTGTGCGGGTGCTAGTAGTTGATGAGGTAAAGTCTTTTGATCTTTGAGATTTGTGTCTGCTGCCTTTTATCCTGCTAGGTAATAAAGCAGGTTTTTTTAATTCTTCTCTTGAATTTTTATCACAGATTATAATTTTGAATATTGAAGCTTTGTGTTTTTGTTTTATAAGGTTGACTTTATTTTCAATTCTTCAACGCAAGTCAGTTCCCTTCGAAAGCTTTTAACTTTGTATTCATCATGCAATAACCGTCAAACGGTTTTTGCCAGTGCATCTATACCACAACACAGACGATTTCTTCATGATTGTGTGCAACAGAAATGGACTAAGGTCAGCTGATGTAGCTATTTATGATTTTTCTTTGAGTTGCCCTTAAGTATGCCACTGACTTCCTGATGGTTTTCTTTGTCTCTATTTATTTTCTAGAATGATGTGGTCCATATTCATGTCAGCCCAGTTGAGCCAATGCCATCACGCCTGCATCATAGATTTGTAGTAAGGGATCTTGAGTATCATAGTAACCTTGTTATTCGTTCTCGTACATTGTTAGCATATCTGCCTGTTTCTGTAGGCTAGCTACTTATTAAAATCCTGTTGTTTACTTAAGCTGTTGTCAATTTATTATGCTGTTTCAATCAACAGGTATGTCACAGGAACAAGAAGCAACAAACCCTGTTATCTTTGATACAATATGATGCACCTAATTCTGGCATTATATTTGCTAATGAGCAGGTTTGCAGAAATATCTTCCTTAGTATCCTCGTCTTTTCTTTACAAGATTATTTGAGTAAATTCCATCATTAATATTCGCTGATACAATAATGTAATCTGATCTTAAATAATTATTACTCAGTGCTATTTTCTCATCTATCTTGCCTATTTTATTATTGATAAGGATCCAAGTCAGCTTAAGAGACCACTAATAACTTATCATCGTAGAAACAAGAGGAAGATAGTTCAAACTGATGCTGTCATGCATTTTAAGGGATTTATTGGATTTAAATTAATCATTGCTGTTATTTTAATTGTTATTTGAATTGTTATTCTGTTTTGAGGATTAATTGCTAAATAATAGGACCTCAAGGTTGTTAGGGAGTTTCTTCCACAGTCGTTCCTGATTTTTAGGCTAATATCTTGCATTATTTGAATTATTCAGTTGTACTCTTTTATTTTAAATATCCTAGCTCCCATACACAATAGGATATGAATGAAGAAATAAACCTGTTACTCCTTTGGAGATTCTCCTA